AAGCATTTTTGATGTCCAACTGCTGAAGAGTCCAATTCAAATTGGCTGCTAGTGATAGAAGAATTCGAACAGTGTTTAGTTTTGCCACTGGTGCAAACGTTTTTGTATAATCAATGCCATATGTCTGAGTGTACCCTTTTGCCACCAACCGAGCTTTGTACCGTTCTATTGTCCCATCAGCTTTGTATTTCAAATTGAAAACCCATTTGCATCCAACTGGTTTCTTCCCTTTTGGCAAGTCAATCACCTCCCAAGTTTCATTTTTTTCCAAGGCTCGCATTTCCTCCAATACTGCGTCTCTCCATTTGGGAATTTCCAAGGCTTCCTGGACATTTCTTAGAATTTTTGTACTGTCAAGGTGAGATATAAAAGCACGAAATCTTGGAGATAGAGCATTATAAGACATGAATTTTGAAATAGGATNAATAGGATGAAGAGTACACGACTGAGTTGGCTTTCTGAGATCAATGGGTAAATTGATGTCAGAGACTTCAGATACTTTACGAGGATCCGAAGCTATCATCGGTTCAGACTCTCTTGGTGCCTCAGATGTTAGATTCTCCTTATGCCTTGATTTTGGCTTCCTTGAATAAACTAATATCTCCTTATCACTTTGTTTTTCTATGTCTCCCCCTGGATTTAAGTTTCCTTCTATCGATGGCATAATAGAACTAGGTGGTGGAATAGGCTCAGGTGGGATAGATTCAGTTGGAGAGAGATCAAAATCCAAAAAACGATCTTCATGTATAATCTCCCCCTGAAGAGAGGTCTTTTGGAAGTATGGGATGTTTTCAAAGAAGGTGACGTCAAGGTTTACAAATGTTCATTTTGTGGAAGGGTCATAACACTTGTAGCCCTTTTGGTGAGGAGAGTATCCTATCAAAACACACTTAATAGCCCGAGGATCAAGTTTATCTCTGTGATGGGAGTGAACATGGACAAATGCAGTGCACCCAAACACTTTTAGAGCTAGAGTAGAGTAGAGACGGGAGGTAGGAAAAAATTGTTGAAATTTGTTTAGTGGTGATTCGAAGTTTAGAGTGCGGCTAGGCATACGGTTGATGAGGTAGGTGGCTGTTAGGATAGCGTCTCCCCAAAACATTTTAGGCATGTTTGTAGTAAACATCAAGGCACGAGCAACTTCTAGAAGGTGTCTATTTTTGCGTTCGGCAATCCCATTTTGTTGGGGAGTGTCGACACAAGAACTTTGATGGATCCCATGCGTTTTAAGAAAATTTCCCATGATCTTATTGAAATATTCTGTGCCGTTATTAGTGCGTAGGATTTGAATTTGAGTATGGAATTGAGTTTGAACCATGGTATAAAAATTGATAAATACAGTACGAACATCTGATTTGTCTTTTAGTAGGTAAACCCAACAAATTCGAGTGTGGTCATCAATAAATGTAACAAACCATTTCGAATGAGTACGGTTCAGGGTTCTCGCAAAGGGCCCCATAAGTCACTGTGGATCATGGTAAATGGTTTTGATGGTTTGTATGTAGATTTCGGGAATGGCGTGCGGGTATGTTTTGCAAGTTCACAAATTTCGCATTGAAAATCAACATACTGTTTATTCAGGAAAATGGAAGGAAATAAACGTTTCAAGTACTGAAAATTAAGGTGACCCATCCTAAAATGCCATAATAGAATTTCACTACTTCTAGGAACAGACACAGAGTTACTAAGTGAAACTTGACATGGTTTACTCACATCGACCTCTTCAAAGTAATAGAGTCCTCCACATTCTTTAGCAATGCCAATCGTCTTCCCCAATGACAGGTCCTGAAAAACATAGTGAGATGGAAGAAATTTAGCAGAGCAATTGGAATTTTTGGTTAACTGACTTATAGAAATTAAATTGCAGGATAAATTTGGAACATGGAGAACAGACTGTAGAGTTATAGAGTCAGAGATTTTTATATTCCCTTTTCCTGCGACTGAAGAGAAGGACCCATCTGTAATTTTAACTTTAAGATTACCGGCACAGATCGAATATGATGAAAATTACTGGTGCAAGTCCGTCATGTGATCAGATGCTCCAGAGTCAATAATCCATGGAATCTTGGATTGAGTTGTTGAAAAGCGCTCAAAAAATTACCTTTGTGGGCTAGGGAAGTTGAAGGTCTATTTGTCGAGGTTTGATTTAGTGGTTGGAGACTCGAAAGAATTTTGTAAATCTGCTCTATCTGTTCGGAATTGAATGCACTGGTAGACTCCTTGGTTTTTTCGGTTTGATAGTCAACAGATGCTTGATATTCACGACTTTTATTATTTTGCCTTGGTTTTCAATCGGTTGGTTTTCCATGTTTGTCCCAACATGTATCTTCTCCGTGTCCTGATTTACGACAATATTCACACCAGGGTCTTCCCTTTTGCAATTTTGGGCCTGGCCCAGTAGCAAATCCTCGTATGGGTCCATTTCTTGAAAATTCAGCAGGCCCACTTCCTTTAGATATTAGGGCAGAGATTTCAGCAGGCCCAACTCTATTAGATAAAGGGCCGAAATGTCATTAGGCCCAATTCCTTTGGTAGATAAGGCTGAGACTTCACTCCCAGACGGCCTAAAGTCCTTGAGCATCGTCTTTCGCCGGTTTTCTTCTCTTCGCACCTCCGAGAAGACTTCGCATGTTGAGGGCAGAGGTCGTCGGCCAAGTATGCGTCCCCTGACGTCGTCCGAGTCTCGATTGAGCCCAGCCAAGAATTCATAAACTCGTTCATTCTCCAGCCTCTTCTTGTACCGGACGCTATCACCGGAGCACGCCCACTCTTCTTCAACGCTTAAATCAAGTTCTTGCCACAACGAAGTCATCTCCATATAATAATCTGTCACTTCCCGTTCACCTTGCTTGGTCTGCCATAGACGGGTCTTGATTTCAAAATTTTTTGAAGAATCCTCCGCGTCGGAATACATCTCTTTCACTGCATCCCAGATGTCCTTCGCTGTAGGGAGGAAGAGATAAGTCTTTCCTATTGTGGGTTTCATGGAATTCACGAGCCAAGCCGTAACCATTGAATTTTCTGAGTTCCATTGTTTCAGTTGTGCAGCGTCGGTCGGTTTCGGTATCTCGCCAGTGAGGTAACCAATCTTCCCTTTTCCGTCAATCACAAGTTTTATTGACTGGACCCATTCTCGATAGTTCCTTCCGTTTAGTCTCTCGACTGAGAGTTGGAAGGAGGAGGTATCTGGGCCATTAGGACCTATTATGGAGGCGTCCTCTATTTGGGAGGTGGCCTCTGTTTCTGAGATTGGAGTTTCAGGGGTCATCGACCCCTTACTGTTGATTGGGATTTCAGTCATTGATTTCTAGGTTTTGAAGAACCAAGCTCTGATACCATGAGATCAGACATGAAATTTTGTATTTCATTGATTTATGTATAAAATAGCAATCCTATTTATAATACAATGTAAGGAGTAAAAAAGGAAACAAACACTAATCTCCTAAATAAGACAATAAATCAAATAATATAATTACAACATTATTTTAGGTAAGGAAAATTTCTGCCAATCATCTTCAATCATCCGGGATTTCAACACTTATCAATCCTATTTTCTCATTGTAGTACTGCAGACCTTATAATTTATAAGAATGTCATTCATATAGTCTCTTACATTTCCTGTTTGGCTTAATTTTGGGTATACTATGTTCTTTGCAGGATAAGAAAATTTCCTGGACAAACTGAGCCAACATTGAGTGCTGAAGTAGAGTTGATTTCAACAATAACGGAAAAAAAATCTTGGACTCGGCCACCTATTCAGATGGAATTTCAGGTTCCATAGCTTTGATTTACTATTACATCATAACATTTCAATTCAACATAGTCAAATTATTGTGAGTAAAAAATGACATAGATAAGCTTATTTTGGCTGAAGTTTTACTTTTTTTTGATGTACAAAGAACATAAATAGTTTGGGATGAAGGTTGTATTATTGGTGTATTATTTCAGGGCTTGGGAGGGGTTTTGTGTCAGGAATGGAGGTGCTTGGGCAGATTGGTCTACCCTAATCCTGAAACAAAAGGGGCAGTTCCCGTTAGATTTTTGTGCTTTGGAGATTGGTGGGGGTTGGGGAGTAGAGGGGGTTCTCTGTCAAGAGGTTTATTTGAATGTAAATTAGCCATTATAAATATAAATAAATCAAGTTATGTGAATATCAGTAATTTAAGAAAAAAATTTAAAACAATGAACAAAATCCTCCCTTCTCACTCCCTGCGCGCAGAAAAAAAGAAAGAAAAATCCCATATTTGCCTAGGGAACAAACTCGTTACAACAGTGTAAGATGGTGTGCGAACACCAAACATTATAGAATTATGGGATAATGGACTCTCATTAACTTTATTAACTGGTAATTTGGTACAACTTAATCTGTACATTTTGGTACTGTTTATAGGGTTTCTATTATATTGCATATTCTATTTGGTCCCTCCCTCCCTCTCCTCATTTCCTCTCTTCAGGAAAAAAAGAACACTCCCACTGGAGTTTGGGTGGATGTGTAAGGTATTGTAGTGATACTTTTATAATAGTAGAACAGTAAAGGGATCTCCTAACTGGTATATAAATTCAAATATTCAATGTATGGCATTCATCACGTAAAATAATATTTTTCTTCTTGCCCCCCTTGCCTTTCCATCTCACAAAGATCAAACTTTTGTGGTAGGTTCCCATGTTTACAGCGTCTGGTTTACGTGTTCGTTTCCTCAAGGTATACTTCCTCATCTAAATAATACAGTGTGTTTTCTGTTACCTTACATTTTAAGATTGAAAACTTCTCTCATCTGATTGGCAGGTATGGGAAAGGAGTGGATACAACACAGTCGAGTGGGTTCGTTATATTACAAAAGCTGGTTCATATGAGATTCGATGCTAGGAAAGTTGCATAAACAGTGGGATGTCTTTATTTTGGGCATGGAGGGAGAACCTATTGTTACCAGCGCGAGTGACGCAAGGAATTATTTGTGAATATGAGTGCATTTTCTCCAACTTGATGCAGCCTCCCTTCCTGCATCCTGTATTACTCGAGGAAAATGTTATTCATGAAAACAAGTACAATATGATTATCTGTGGTAGCGGGTTTCATATGCGTGTTAGGAATTGTGAAATTTGATTTGTGATTTTGTGCTGTAAAAGGCCAGTCAAGATTTGACGGGGAGAGAGTAGTTTCTGATACTTAAAACTCTATTATATCTTCACAGAGTCTACTTTTTGGTTTGGTTTGATACATTTTGAGTTCAAAAGTGTAATTTGCTTGGACTTGAATACCATTTCTTTTACGTGAACAGAAGTTTGGAATCTGGACGTGTACTCATGAAATAGAAAGTTGCTTATTTGATGTGTTAGTAAAAAGCTTTAGCCGTGCTATGTTTGCCAACCCGAATGACATATTGTCACAGATTTTTCCATCAATCTGTGATGGGATTGAGGTTTCCGTCCCCAACCTTAAAACACACAAATTTACACTTCTGGGTATCGAAAACCAACAGAAAATAGACTAAGTATTGGTGAAGATAGAAGAAAATGAAACAGAACGCAGATTTACAGGAACCTTTCTAACTTTATTTCTATAAAACGAAGAAACAACCTAAAGTACGAAAATTGTGAAGGAGCAACACATACGATTGTATTCTCATCATTTCTAACTTCTATCCATCTAAAATGCCCCTACACTTGGAATAAATAGAGAGAATTTGGATTGCAGTTAACTGTCCCAACCATAGTTGTCAGACTCGACCCGGACACAGATATGGACAATGCAGCGAGTCAATGGGTTAGTAATTCAACCGGTGACTCGGTGGTTCAATCGGTGGGTCATTGCATAAGAACTTCCAAAAAAAAAAAATCAAGTATAAATTTTTTTTAGAGGCAAAATTAAAATTTTTTATTTATTTTTCACTAATTATTTAAGTCTATAAAATAAAGTAAAATGTTGGATCAAAATTTTTTAAAATAATATTTTTATAAAACTTATAAATTATTCATTTAATAGATATACGTTAGTTGCAAATAAGTAATATTAACACTCTATATCAAGTGGTGACATTTTTTCCTTAGAGGTCCAAGATTCAATTCCCTTCAGATTCTAAAATTTTGTAAGAGAATTTTAAAATCCAATTAAGCCGGTCAACCGGACCAGGTAAATCGCCAGTTAACTCGGTCAAAGCCCGATTTTGACCGAGTCAAGTGCATTTTGATAAAATTAAGTGGAAATTACACAAAACACTAGTTTAAGTATCCAGTATTCTAAAATCATATTAGGAGTGTCATATTTCTAAATCAGATTTTTTTTAATTTATATTTTTATAAAATAAATATATTTACTAAACAATCTCCAACCTTAATTAATTCCCACTATCCTCTTTCTCTACCTTTCTCCCACAGTCATCATCTTCCTTCTCTCCTCTCTGTTCGGCGACCTCCACCGGTGATGCACAGTCACCGGCGATTTACCTCTACCGCCAAGCAGCGGCGTCTTTTCCCAATCGAATCAGAGGTAGATCTACACTTCTCTGCACCTTTTTCTAATTTCAATTTCACGCAAAAAAAGTAAGAGAAATCCCCGAGACAAAACAGTCACGGTGGAGATCAACACATTCTTCAGCGAGATTGGTGCTGGAAAGCACGTTCCCCATGCTATGTTTGTGGATCTGTAGACTACTGTGATAGATGAGGTCCGTACCGGGACNAATGGTGGTCACAGAAGTCGGTGGTGGTCACGGGGTGGTGCTGTTGGTCTAGCGATAACGATGGTGATGGTCACAGGAGTGGTCACGGGAGTCTGTGGTGGTTACCAGGGTGGTCACAGAATTCGGTGGTGGTGACCTTAAAATTGTAATTAAAAATTAATCTGCGATGGGGGTGGTCACAGAAATTTGTAGTGGTCACGGGGGTGATCACAAAAAAAATCTAACTGTGACTTTAAAATTGTGATTAAAAATTAATTTGTGACCAATAAATTTGAAAATATGTGACTGATAGATAACTGTGACCTGTAATTTTTTGATCTGTGACCAATAAAATAATATGTGACCTGATTTGTGATCTCGAAATAATCTGTGACCATTAAAAAAATCGTGACCTCTAATTTTTTTGATTTGTGACCTCAAAAATAATCTGTGATCAATTAATTATGTATCTGTGACTATTAATTGTATAATTGTAACCTCATTATATTTAATTAATAAAATAATTAAATATTTAATTAATAAAATAAATAATTGTCGGAATCGAAAAGGTCACCGAGAAAGTTGCGAAAAGTTCGTCGGAACAGTAATCGGGAAGTCACCGGAAAAGTTCGCCGGAGTAGAGTGGTGACCCGAACGGTCGCCAGAGCGGTGGGGGTGGTGAAGGTGGGGTAAGTTAATTATATTATATTAGAATTAAATATTTAATAATAAATTGATTTAATAATTTATTATTTCATAAATAAAATTTTAAAAAATCTGATTTTTGAAATTTGAAAGTTGTTTTCTTAGTTTTGAAATAGGTAATACTTAATCTCTTGAAAATGAAATTTTCCCTAAAATTAATCTACCCGGCCTGGTCAAGGGTCTGGGCTGCTAGTTTTCCAGGCTGACCGTCCGGGCCAGGCCGGGGTTTATAACTATGGTCCCAACTATTGGGTCAGTTTTCCTAGATTTCAAGTCCTTCCAAGCAAGAAATTGCTCGTAACTGTCCCTATATCATGCCTACAGCAGAAATCACCTGCAATTGCCGTCATGTGGCTTCCATACGGCCTGATTTTCACTAAATCCAAGTACTGAAATCAATTGGACAGCAAGTTCACAATGCTGTCGAACACAATCTGCATCAATCCATCAATCAACACCAACTTGACTTGCGTCCCCGAATTCTGCCTTGTGATGCCGCCATCAAGTAAATTTGGCATCCGTGCTTCGATCACTTGCTCATCACAAAATTTGCATGCTAACTTAATTCATACGTACTAAACATCAAATATCATGCATGCTTTCGGTCATGGCATGGCAACAGCAAGGCAGCGTCCATGTCATATCCATTCTGTTTTTGACATATTTTCTAATCGAACTATTTTAAGCAGTTTGAGAAAATACCAAACATAAATCAAATAATTTAAAATGATTTGAGAAAATTCAAATTCGATTTTAAATTGCAGTTTCCGTATATTTTTCTTCCGGTTTACTTTAACTTTATATTTTTCTATTTTATTGGCGATGGAACAAAGCATATGATGTATAGCAAGCTACTTATTTCTAGATAAAGAATTTAAATAATTATATTTTGTTTTGGAGGTAGAGATGTAATTTATAGGTCTGACTCTGTCCAATTTTGACCAATTTGGGTAGTACTTTAATTTTTTTTTTTTTTGCTTAATCTATTTTATAAAATCTTTTACCGATCATGTTTGATTTCAAGCTAACCTTTACTGAAAATGTAAATGCGATCTCCAAACTTTAATTTGTGATACTGTGATCCTAAACTTTTATTTTCTAGAAGCTAGGGTCTTTATTGATTGTTTCCGTGCAAATATGTGGAAGCATCCATGGCTAGACATAAGATGTAGATCATATCATGAGTAACTTAGTATATTAGGATTCATATAGATATCGAGTCACGTGGTGCTTCATTAATATATAAGCAAAAATTTGTTTCAAAATTGCTAATGTGGTTGGTTAAAAATTTACTATAAGAAAAATAGACCGCGTCTAAAAAAATAATTACTTGATTCTGTTTCTATTTTTAGATTTTCTCTCTCTCTTCCTCTCCATATATTGATTTTTATTTGAAATTATATAAAAGATACGTGCCATGTAGACTGCAAATTTGCACTAGATAGCAATTCATAAAATAAATTTGAGATTCTCTAAGATCACCAAGACTCTATACGACTGTGATAATTATCCAATTTTAAGGAAAAAAATTTGTGCTTTTTGTTATAAAATAGAGAGAAAAAAGAGATAAGAATGAAAAAGCCAATAGACTTTGTTGACCTCGAAAAATGGCTATGATACGTGGCCAACATAATAAGTCTTCACATATGCTCCTCTATACGCACATTAGCACATCGTTAGTTACTCGTGGTCTTTTTCGGTGGGCATGGAAGCGACCGCGAGCATTTCGACGGTCAAGTCAGTGTTTCAATCAACCGGAAAGTGGTGTTCGACAGCGAAGTGCTCGTCGGGACGTGGTTGAAAGACTTTAGAATTAGAGACTAGAATGCAAAGATTAGAATGGGAACCCCCTCTTCTTACCACAGTGGGGGTATTTATACTAGAGAAGGGAAGAGGTGAGCCGTTGGATGGGGGGACACGTGGCTTCAGATTTGAGATGGGTCATCCTTTCATAGGTGTCAATCCATACATTGGCGAGCATTAAATGATTTCTGACATAACAACTGAGTTGACCATTTTGTAGCCTGCCACACGTCCCATCAATCAGTCAGGGACTTGACTTTAGAGATCTCCTCATAAAAGATCTTGGTAGAGGTGTGGCGAGGCAGATTGTGAATTGCAATGAATGCGGAGTGCGGGCCTTTGCTTCCGCTGTGAATGGCGGATGAATTCGGCTCTCCTACCAGTGGGGCAATTCGGAGTCATGGAATTAGTTTGTCTGAAATAATTTCAGTTCGTCAGTCACGTGGCGACACTAGATCAGTTCGTCCAACATGACAGATGAGGTAGAGGGCCCCCGAAGGCCAGTAACAACAGCCCCTCAAGTCTGTGTATGGATATTTATATAATGCATGGACTTTGTAGAGGCGGCTATATAGTGCCATTTTATGGGGTGTATGCGTTAGTTGTAGAAGAGATGAAAAAGGTATGCAGGAACGAAGTCCTGTTGTAAGGACGAAGCATTGAGTGTGAATTTAGGGAAGGTCGTTGCAAAGTAAAGTCC